ATGTGAACTAGTTCTTATTCAATGCTATTCAATTTCTTTTTATCATTTTCCTGTAAGAATATATAAAACAACTGCTGGTGAAATATGGTATAACTGGAACAGATCAGTAAAAAGCTAATCTGGATTTCTGGATTTGGTGGAGTTGATTCAATATTAATAGGTTTTAGTGTAACTGAAATCAAGCCACCTGTCTGTAATCAAAGGATGTAGCTCTAATTCAAATAATGCTAGTGTGACTTGAGAGTAAAAAGATTTTTTTAAATGGTGGTAGGAACAACCTGACCTTCAACTTCCAAGCAATGATGTCATCATTTGTAATTACAGTCTTTTGATGCATAAGGAAAAGACTAATATGCACAGGCAAGTTGTATGAAGCACTAGTGCGACTGTTGCTGTAAATACTGAGTCTGCTTCTACTGTAAATGTTTCAAAAATTGGGAAAAGTAGCAAATAGAATTTTGAGAGTTATTAAGATTTGGAAAATAAGATTAAGATTAAGATGTGGAAGCCTGTCTAACCCCGTGAGAAATTTAAGAAGTACCATCTTTTTTCAGATGTCCATGAGATGGTTAGTGGTACAAGTGATCCATGGTGGCATTGTAACACTTTCTGTCCTTTAAAACCTTGTATGCTGAGCCAATCAATCAACAAACAAAGCAAATTAGTAAGATTTGCCAGGATGTAAATCAGCATAGCTATTTTTATAGTCCACACTAGATGAGTCCAGTTAATCCAAAACCTGACTTTATCTAACCTTTTAAAAAAATTATTTTGGTTATTCTGGACATAGAAAACATAACATAGTATATTTTTTTTTATCCTATCCTATTCTATTTCCTTTGCCCTGAAACAAAGGAAATGGAGGATGGAAAGTCTTCAGTAACCATTTTTAAAAATCAGAATAAGCTCCAATTACATAATCCTTGTGACAATTTGGCATGTATGATGGAGGCAGGAAGGCATATTGTTAGAGCATGCTGCAGTTCAGTAATTTTTAGCTACCAGATGATCCCTGGAGCCTGATGTTATCTGACTCGTACAGAAACATCTCTTAGCTTACTGCAGCTTGAGCCAAGAACTAGAAGAGAATGACAGCCATAAATACTTCCCTGTTGGGCCCATCTATAGCACTTATTAGAAACTCAGCATGGGAGATAATCTTTCCTAGGTAAATTTGGTAGGTTCTCAAGTTTCCAAGTTCTTTCTGCCATGAAATGTTCCACTAAAACTTACAGTATTACCATTATGGTTACCTAAAGAGAAAAAAAAAAAAAGTTTACTTTAGTTTTGTTACCAGAGAAAGAGAAAAGAAAATGAAAACATAATTATTATATCATTTAATTACAAAAGAAAATATATTCAAATCCATTCTTAATGAAACTATGAGTACTGTATGCATAAACAGAGAAGTCACCCAAATTGGTTGCAGGAACTAATTTGATGGTGATATTCTCTCTCTGATGGAGCAGACCCAGGTAGTAAATCATTATTGGTTGCCTAATGGGAAGATCCTACTGTGAAAATAAACAGCTGTCCACAATAAAGAAATTGTTTACAAGAAACCATTATGTGTCAGACACTTCATTCCCTTGAGAAAGGAGTGAAGGCATGAAATACTGAGCAGTTGGATTTTTTTCTGGGATGTTTATTTCAAAGAAAAATATTTGAATTTTTCTGGTAAAGCTTTATTTTTAGATTCTAATAGCATGATCCTTTCATGTATTACCACTTTAGTTTGCTTGGAAGGAAAGACTGTAACTACTGTTTTTGAGATTGCTGTATATTATGTATGTTCCTGAATTCGTTATAGTTGTATGCATACACTGTACCTGGAGAAGTTTTTCTCAGCCCCATCGAGTGGGGCATGTAATAGCCCTGCCTCTCCTAATGAATATCTTCCAATAAATTTTCATTCCAAGAATTTCACTTCCGGTCAGATTGATGCTTCTCAGGTGGGACTGTATCTAGGGGCAAAGCCTAGTCTTCAGTGACCTGTCATTGAACAGGGTCAACAAAATCTTGCTCATACAACTTGACCCTCTATAAACGTCTTCTGAATATTTGAAGTGTGAGTAAACTAAGCTGAGGTGACTATCATCAAGGGCTTGAAAGAGAATGAAATGGTGGGCAGAAAACTGTGTTCGTTACCACCAGCACGAATCTGTATTTCTATCTATCTCTCCTTTGCATGGTGCATCTTTGAGATACTTCCACATCTGCAAGACTTCCTGATTTCACGTGCAAGGCTTTCATGTGCTAAACAGCTAAAGGACAGCTGTGCTTAAGCACAGTCACACAGGCTTCACAGCAAAAGAACAGTGACAGAAACTCAGGGACTGCTGAAGTACCAGGGAGTTTGTGTACTTTATAGGTTTAGCTGTTTGTCAGAGACAATCATTCTGTTTGTTTCTCACACCAGTAAGTAAGTAAGTGCACTAAGCACACTTAACTAGACTCGCATGGAACATTTCTCACTCTAGAAGTTATTTCTTAGCTTCCTAGATGGTGCCTGTATTACCACGTCTTGGCAGCAGTATAGTCCCTTGTTTTGTATCTCCATACACAGTGCAGGGCTCTACCAAAGCAAGTCTCTGCTTCTTCAGTCAGGGAGGTTCATTGGTAATTATCTATTGATGAGTCTGTCCATAGACTAAAAGAAGATGATATTTCATATTCTGGAGCAAAAGAGGATAAGACTTTCAGCTCAATTAAGATACTCCTAACACTCATATTTAGTCTTCATCCTCACTATGAGATTTCCAAAGACTATGGCAAGGCCTTGGTGGGGTGTTTTCTTGTCAAATCCCTGTCCCTCCTTTGATGAGCTAGGCTTTCAAATCACAGGATATTCATTCACATTCTGCACGTAAACAGTTTTCCAGTTAGATGCCAGGCCAGACAGGGAAGTATAAGAGAGACCTAAGGCTTTCTGGAATGCCATCCAAGTTCTTCCGTGAAAGGGATGTTACTATGAAGATTCACCTTAAGTTCCTTTCTCAGGCTGTATAAAAATTTGTTTGGTTCATTGTATTAACACATACGTATTACTTTCTGAATGAAATTAATTCAGATCCAAGATTTCCTTCCACATTTGCAATGATTCAGGAAGACCCCTTCTATGTCTTAAGACTGCATACCTAAAGGACTGGCAGTTTTGATGCAGATACTTTTCAACAAAGTTGGAATTGTCTGTGACAGGGAGGGTTCACGCTGTCAGACCTCAGGTAACACCTGAGGTTTTGTATGGGATGTCTCCGTTACAGATGTCTGCCAGACTGCCACCTGAACTTTTGTTTACACTTTCATTAAGTGTAACAGTATTGCTGAAACATTCCAGCCTGGTATTCCCTTTAGAACAGTTTGTCAGTCTGTATTTGACCAAAATCTTTAAGACCTCATTCAGATACGTAGTCTGATATGTATCTACATATCTACATATGTAGATATGTAGAAATACAGGGAGTATTTCTTAGAATCATGCATACTATGAAAGTATCTGTAAGTTGGAAAGGCCATAAAGTTTACATTCTTGCAACTATTCTTTATCCTTTGTTAGCTACATTAACGTAACTGGGATTTCCTTCCCTTTGAAATCTCTGTTATACCTCGAAGAATTCTCCCAGGCCAGTAGGATTGAGAGGGAGAAACTTCAGTCATTGCTTTCACAGCGGCATTTGTGGCTTGCACAGATGGAGGACTTGTGACTTCTACAACTGCAGAAGTTGGTTAGGCATAAATTCTGTAGCTTACAGCACTGGAGCTGCTTTTGTTTATTTGGAGTTTGGGTTTTTTTGGAGTGGACTTGCCCACCGAGTGAAAGTACATATTGGAGAGCCACCTCAATTACAAATAAATAGACTTTCTTCTGTGAACTCTGCAGGCTGTCAGTTGAGGCCCACAGACGTGAGATTTGAATGTAATCATTGTCTTAATGCAGAGCTGCAGGTGTTATAGCACATTTAGGAACATGGAGCACATGCCTTTGTGACCCACAAAGGAAGGTACTCTGTAGATTCACAGACACCGTAAAGATCACCATGACCATGCACAGGCAGTGGCATTTTCCCCAGAATCTGAACTAAAGCATTTCTTTAATAATACAATTCTAAAGGCATGAAGTAATGTGGAGCTTTTGGCCTCCTGCTAAGTCATTCTGGTGCTTGGTTACCATCACGGCTGGGAAGCTATGCCTTATTTCATAGTCCTCTCTATCCTCTGACCTGATTTTCACTAACGTTATCTTACGTTGTTCAAACAGCATTAAGAACATTTAGAGAAGGTAAGAATGATACTTTAAGTCCCTTTAATGGTTCTTCACAGTGCCATAAAATGGTAATAACATCACAAAATATGTCCGAACAGCAGTTTCCCATATACCTGCAGGTATGTAGACATTTTTAAGCCAGCTGTAGCTTATCTAGCTGAGATACTGCTAGAAAGGTAGCTACTGCAGTGCACAGCTCTATGGAGGATGGAAATTTCATCAGAGGAGCTGAGTACGTTTTTGTGCAATTAATCCTCTCTGATCTGTTACGTCGCTCACAGTGTCCAGGAAAAGTTGTCACTGACGGCTATTAGCATGCTCTAAGTTGAGTGTGTGTTTATATAACTTGTTGAACTGGGTCGTATGTGTTAGGATTTGCCAGGATGAGATATGAGTTGCATTAGAAAGCTCCCTTTTAAGTCATCCCTGTTATAGTGATAGTACTTGGATTCACAATCAGTAATTCAGGGTTACAAAAGTAAAATATTTGAGTTTGTTTTGTGCCTTATTTTATTTAGGTATTAAGAGAGTTCTATATCCTACCTTAACACAGAATGTATGAGCTGATAAAATAAGTGTAGATATGCAATATATTCCTTACCAAATACATTTAAATTAGAATAGATTTTGTAAGTTGAAATAGTATTCTGAGTAGCGTTCTGTTTTCAAAATAATTTTTTATTTTAAAATTTATGAAATACTTGTAAGTTCACATAAATGCTATTTTTATTCACAGATAATGCACCTCAGGTAGCAATTACCGCACCAGGATCTGGTAACCATAGAAACAGCTCTACAGGCCCAACACCTGACTGCTCTCCTCCATCACCAGACACTGCACTTAAAAACATAGTGAAAGTTATACGTCCTCAGGTAGGTGATCACCATAAGCATCCTCTTATTAGTTGTGTTTTTCATTTTAGAAGCAGGCTATGATGCATGTGTTTTAAGAGGATGTTATCGCTATACACATATGAATAAGTCAAAGACAGATAAACCAAACACAAAATATTTTTTGTACTTAGGAAGCAATCTTGATAGCAGGAAAAGATAGAATATTTTATGTATGAGCCCAATGTACAGAGACATATGTACAGAGACAATGTACAGAGAGATATCAGTACATTTTTCTTATAGCATTAATAATGAATGAAGTCTTTATGTAATATTTTGTATTTTTATGTACTATTAGTTTTCTTCTAAGTTTATGTTCTGGTTTTATCAGTATTAATTCCCTGTTACTTTTTCAGGTTTTCTTTCCTCTTTCTGTATCTCTATTTACATGGTCCCATGTTTCATACCTTCTTTAGTTTACCTTCTTGTATAGTGTTTTTTCTCGACTTTCATCCTTCCCAACTATATGTATTTCTAATAGTTTTTGGTAAACAAGATGCTTAATGTGTGGAAGACTTGAGTGCCCCTTGTAATTCTTTAAGGAGTACAGCCTTTTAAAATAAAAGCTTTAAAATAAATAAACTTGATTCAGTAGTATAGAGGTAATCAGCATAGAGGACTTTATTTTAGAATCACAGGATAATGTAGATCAGAAGAAACCTCAGGGGATTATCTAGTTCACTGCTTAAACAGGCATGACATTAGGTGTGTCAGAGCTAGCTGTGACAACTACACAATGAATTGGCTAATTGTGAAACTTTTTTGGTGTGAACCAAAAGAACTTCTATTCCTCTCCTACCAATTATTGGGTTCAAATGCAGCCATCTGTTCTTCATTGCTGAGCTGATCTCTGCAACTGAGCCACTTTGATGCTAGTGGATGCAGGCTTTGTATCATCAGTATGTTGCTGGTATTTGTGTTACTTGAGAAGTAAGCTGATGGATACATGATATTTTGGTGAGAATTATATAGGGCAGATTGTTTTGATGCCGCACAAGTGATGGAGGTGGATCCTCCTTTCAATACTTGTGGGAGCACACAGTTCAGAAGGTCTTGCAGAATTAAAGGTAATTACTAGGTGCACCTGCCATTTCTCTCTAGGAGCCATTGGTTTCCTATGGCTGACACTGTCAGTGCACAGTAATTCTAACAATTGGCTGGTACAGCGCATCTCTCTGTGACACTACAGCAGTTTGGGTTCCGCATCCTGGTTTAAATCTGGGTTGCAGGGGATCTAAAATAACAGCTTCTTCTCCTTTTCTCTTTTTATAGTTGCTTGTTTTGCTTGTTCCTGTAGTCTCTCTGTCCCTCCCACCCTACATCGGTATAGTACTGAAATGCCTCCTTCCCTCTAAGCTGTTTTTTATAGTAGGCGGCAAGCAAACAGAAAGGTATTGGAATATTGTTGGAACAAGCTTATTGAAAATAGCATTTAAAAAGCTGTTTCCATCATGATATTGCCAACAGATGGACCCGGAACACTGAATGGTGATGTTCTCCTGCTCGTTAACCCTGAATGGATTCAGCAGATTCTGGGGAGCTATTTTCAAATTTAAATCATGCCATTTACTGACTCCCAGTATTCTCATCATTCTGCAGAACAAAAGCTAGCTGCGTGGTATATATGGGCAGAACTTTACCATGTTTGCTAAAATGTGTCTCATGTGGCCCTACATGTGGCACACTTCCTATGCAGAAAACAACAGCAGAAAGGCACATGTAGGCTAGTGCTTAATGTATGTTGTAAATCTATGCACTAATACATGAGAAGTTGGATGCACTATAGCATTCAGATCGCATTATGCTTCTTCTTTCTCCATGTGTTTTATGCACATTGCTTCAGTATTCTTCCTTTTCTTTTTGTTGCTTACCTAATCACCTCCCCCCAAGATCTCAATCCAAGAATTTAGACAAAGAAGTTGTAGATGTTTGCAATGTGATGTTTGCAAACCATTAGTGTTAATTCTGCCTGCATATTTAATTCCTTTATTCCATGCCTCCTGCATTCAATTACATGGCAAGCTCTTTGAAGGTTAACACAATAGGATTCTATTCTTGACTGACCTCTTGCTACTCATGTAAAACTAATGAATAGTGTTACACAATACATGCAACATAATTAATTTTCTGTTGTCTGCCAGGGCCTCTTTGTACTTTTCTAGCAAAATAAACAGATTTTAAGCAGATCTAAAACAGGGATCATATAAATTTCCAAAACAGCTGTCACTCCTTTCCCCTTTTCATATGGCTTGTGCATCCAGCATTGAAGGTGCCACTGAAAGGCAGAACGGGAAACTCTTCAGCAGCTAGTTTTGCACTAGGCAGGCTTTGGTAGCTTGGATGAAACTGCCAGGGAAGTCTGGCCTTTCAACTCATATTGTTATTTTCATTTATAGCCTTACTTGTCTTTCCTGGAGGGTTGTGTGTATAACAGTTTACCCGCAGTGAGGAGAAACGCTGTGTTAACTACTCTGTGATCTGTGTAAGCAGCAGGAGAGGGGACCAAAGATTCTTTCCTCCCACCAGTCTAGTGAGGGCAGGCAGTGGCAGAGAGTGGAAAAAGAGAAACCTGGTGAGCTGGGTTTGGAGGCAGAGGTGGGGGTCATTCTGCCTCCTGTTTTCTTTGGCCAGGTACCTAAGACTGTGTGCCGGCTTACATGATGGCAGTGCATATACATGCTTCAACTCATGACAGATTCTGAAGATGTTTGTATGAATATGAGGTTTAGCACAGCACAGTGGCCTCTCCCCTCTCCTGTACCAGACGCTCACGTACCAAACCCAGCTTGGGGGGGGGAATCTGTCAGCTACACCTGCTGCTTGGGGTCCCTGAAGAGGGAGGAGGCTGTGATGCTGCACTGCCAGCCCATGGGGTGAAAGTACCACAGCTGGGAAGTGTGAGACAGGAACAATCTCATACACAGAGTGTGAATCCTGAGAGGTCTGGGTCGTGGTCAGTTAAGAGATTCCTCAGAGGGCACTCAAAATTTGTCCTTTTCCTTCTAGATGTCTCTTAAACTGGCCCTAATTCTCCCCTTCTTATATTAAAAACGTGCCCTCACAAACCCTGACTGAGAATTTCTCTTTTCCTCCCACCTTTCACTCACATTTCTGAAAATTTATCCTTTCTTCAGTTTTTTATGATGAATTTTGAGGTGAGAAACCTGCAGTTTGTTGCGACCTTACCACTCGTCCCTTAAGAGATCCCATTGCTTTCTAAAATCTGTCTAAAAGCTCTCTTTGGATATGTCTCGACTCTTCAATTCAGTGTGCTGTTACTAAAGCTGAAGCCTATTTTAACTGAAATGGTGTATCTCCCTGGCACAGTGCAGCACTCTGGAACTCAGATATCAGAAGCAGTGTTAAGTTCAGTGCCACAGTCCTGAAGATAGCTCACTTAGTAATTCAGGGATGTGTGCTATGTTATTTGTGCCCCTTAGCTATGGCCTGTACCTGTGATCTAGCATTTTGCAAAAACACATCTTGTTTTCAAATTTGCCAAGGGTCAGACTCTGAAAAAGAGGATTTGTTGAAAAGTTATATATATACAGATAAGAAACAAACAGAATTTAGTTCAGAGTTTGAATCACTTGATCATTTTTTTCCAGATTGTCCAGACAAATCTTAGTAAGTTTTTAACTCATGAATTGCTGATGAATGAAAGCTTTGAGAAAGTAATACGGTTTCAAGTTAGAGACATATGCCTCTGTGAAGTATACTAACAGCACGTGGGAGAAAAAATGAGATGTGGTAGAAGACCAAGTAGGTTAATGTGTTAACTAAAGTCCTCTGAAATTTTAGGCTCTCTTCCAAGTTTTAACTTAGTACATATAGTAAAATATATCCTACCTTATCAGAACTGGAATTTTAGAAGGTGACAGTGAAATTGAGCTTGTTCTACAACAATTCCTATAGCTCTTGGTCTGGATAAAGCCTGAACAAAATTGGGCTGCATGTGACGTTTCATGTATTTTTTATATTAGCCACTCAATTTAATAAGACTCTCCTTACTTTAACATATTTCTTTGTTCAGCTCCATTTGAACAAATAAACTATATACATAGAGAGAGAAAGAGCATGTTTTATCCTAAGAGACTGTTTCTTTTGACAGTGCTATTCACTTGTGGGTCATTGGCCAATTCTTATAAAATTGAATTCTGGCTTCTCACCTTTTCAATTCTTTATTAAATGTAATCCAGCATTTGCATATTCTCTTCTTGTCTTTCTAATGTAGGTTTCAAATGGCTAACTGTAGATAAAGCTTTTGATGTCTAAATGTAGATTATTTAAAAGTGACTTAGATTTTATCTATCATAAATTAGTATTTTCCCCATTTTATGTGAATAAGTAAACTCCCTAAGAGTTATTTCAGTGATATAAACAGGGCTTCTGGTAGAAAGACAAAGGAACAGAGAATTTCAGTGTTTCTGACATAACGGAATTTCATCATCTTGTTTTTGCTAGTTTTATTGCTAAGATCTGCAATAATCTATTAATTTATTTTTTTTTCTTGTGGGTTTGGATGTGCTGTCTTTACATTAGTCATTATTTTTTCTATTTATCTTTTTTAACCTCTTTAAACAAAGTTACAGTTCCACCTAGGGTTCATTGTTCCTCTGGCTAAGACATCTAGCAATATAATAGAAGAAAGTAGTTTAAATGTTAGAGGACAAAAGAAATTGTCTCATTTTTCTGCAAGCAGTAATAGAATCCTGCAGGACATCTGTAGCCTCTGATAGACCTATCCCACTTGTTTGGGCTACCAGATGTGCTTTGCCTAATGTACAACTATTCTGTCCATGCACAGCGAGCCTGGCATGCCTATGTAGGTGTAGTTCATCTAGGCATAGGGAAAGACAGGGACCATGATGTTCCACCCCGTATAGCAGCCTGGTCATGAATGGACAGACCAACCATAGGAGATATGTGCTCCAGAGCCTCTCTAGTTGACCTAAAAAGTGACAGTAATTTACATTCAA